TATTAGCCTTGTGACTAAATTTCATTTAGGAGTCTGCTCCTGCAGTTTATTAGGCCTTTAATAGGTGTTAATTATACTCTTCATGCCTTCTGAATTAAGAGACAGGAAGTAATTTTACACACGTCAGCAAAGCCTAAACCAATGTTTGGTTCTGGGAAACTCGATACCAGCATTACTTAGAGGAGTAAGTCCAAAACCCAAGCAAGGCAGAAAGGAACATGGGCTGTTCCATTTCTTGTAGCATAGAATTGAGGCACATTGCATGTCCAGGCAAGGTAGAACAGAAGTTTCTTTTACAGACCAGTTGCTTAACTTAGGCCAGAAATGTTAGGATAGAGACTATGTAGACACAATGCAATGCTGGTATTAAAACTATATATATGAAGAGCTGCCTATATGGTCACTTTACCATGAGTAAAATAATCTGAAAGACTAAAACTTTGTAGACAGTGCCTTGACTGAGCCAAAGTATAGAGTGGTCCCCTCTTCCCTTTTAAAATCCTTTGACTTTAGTTGTTTGGGAGGATTGGGGTTGCTTCTCATGGCTGTTGAAAGGTCTTTTCTTTTCTGAGCTTGCTAGTGGACATAATGGAAGTTTTTCTTAGTTTTTGCTTCTTAGAAGTACATGTAATTTTTCACATTTGTGAACAGGGTATTTCAGGAAAATAAAACAAAAAGAACTTTTGAATCTCAGGCCTCTTTTCAGAAAATCGAGAGCATCTTGCTGCTATAATGAGGATAAAAGTATTTTGTCATTCATAGGTGGGAGAAATGAAAGATTAAAGGAGAGATGGTCCCTTTGGGTAATACACTAAAATCAGACAAATGTGATTGACTGGCTGGGTGATTTTCCTTTTCTCACTTTAAATGAATCACACAATTCATTTAGTATATCGTCATGAAGTTTATAGAAAAACATTAAAGAAGAAGCTTATCTAGAAAAACCACCTGGAAAAAGTTATTTTAGGAGCTATAGTGGAATTTATACTATTTTATACAGAGATTTTATAATATTTTTAAAAGCTAGAATTTTATATAGTAGACTATTTCCAGTGTTTAGTTTAGTTTTGTTTTGATCAGAACTAAAAATTGAGCCATATTTTTCTTTTTTGGGGGGATTAGGTTTTTGCCATAGGGCACATGAGACAGAGATAGGTAAAGTGAGAAACCACCCCCTGTGGAGGTAGGAGCACACCACAATCCCTCTTCTTACATTACCCTTTCAGGATTTGGGGCACACATGCATGGACACTCAGTGTGATTTTCAAGCCAGGGCCAAGACTCAAACCACAGTCTGCCCTGTGGGAGTCTAGTACTTAAGCCACCATGCCACCTGCTAGCCTATACATTTTGCAAATTTTAGCATGCTTCTACTGGAGAAGAAAGGAGATGTATATAAAATATTCCTGTGAATACAGGTAGAAAGATACACTGACCACTTTTTGAGCTTTCTGCTCTTTTTTTCATCCTCAATGCCATATATTTTTCTTACACTCTTTAAAAAATAAATATTTTTCATAGTTCTCCTAAATCTACTGGGTTTTTCTTGGAGCCATGATGGAATCTGTGGCATTTCAAATCCCCTTAAACAAATCTCTGTATATTTACAATGGGATCAAGACAATAAAATATCTCATAGGGTATGTGGTTTAGACCAATCTCTAATCTATACCTGTTAGATACGACAAGCATTTATGACTACCAGCTGAAATTATGGCACTGTGTTGTATAAATATGCAAGAATTCATTTTCTTGTTCCCACCATTTTCTGTTCTTGCCCTAAGTAAGAAAAAAATTGATGAGCTTTTATCAGAAGATGTTAGATTTAGTTAGATGAGCATATATGAAGGCATGACATTGCATGGAGCATAACACAGATAAAAAGTTAAAAATTAGCTGAATTCTTATTTATGTAGGCCAGATGATCTTAATACATTAAGTTTTAAACCTAATTAGTGGGCCAGCAGTGGTCATAGTGGTTAGGATGCTAGACTCCCATCCAGCAGACTGCAGTTCAAGTCTCAGTCCTGGCAGCTTGAAACTCATGCTGGGTATGAGTACATACATGCCCACAATCCAGAGAGGAGAATGGAGGAAAAGGGATTGCAGCATGGCTGTTCCCCCACAGGGAGTGCTTTCTCACTTTCTCTTTCTCTGTTTTCCTCTGTCTCTCCATCTGCCCCTCTTGCAAGCATATGCACCCAATAGCAAAAATCTTTAAAAAAAAAAAAAAAGTTAATTAGTGTCCAGTAAGACTCCAAGAGTTCTTAAGAATCAAATTCCAAACTGCCCATGCAGGTGAATAGGCTTTACAGATTTGGAAGTGCCTTTTGCTTTCATTGCTGCCAATCTAATATAGAGAAAGTGCTTCATGGGGTTTCTTCCTCCATAAATGAAACATTATTTCCAGCATCTATTACATGTAAGACAAGGCTGAAATTAAGAGCCCTCGTCCTTTGTTGTTTGCTGTTGAGACCTACTAATAGAGACCTACTGTTGGACTTAGGTACATAATGTGTTGTTATTCAGGCTTTACAATTAGGACATGGCCGTCTATGCCTAGGAGGAAGAGTTGTAGAATGAAAGAGGTAAACTTCGCTGTGGTGCAGCAATGAATGTTACAGTTAAATATATCTAGACATTATGAGGCTCGACTGTGGTGGTGCAGGTGGTTAGGGTGCCCCTCTGCAGTACGGGAGCCTTAGGGAAGACCAAGTTTGGATCCTGGGTTGACCTGAAATATGTCAGGACAGGAGTGCTGCCAGCTAGTGGACCTAGCTGGCTTGAAGACTGTGGGGGTGATCATAGCATGATGAGACCCTGCCAAGAGTGGCTAATTCTCTTTCTATCTCTCTCAAGTAATAAAACTTTAAAAAAAAAAAAAAAAAAGACATTATCAAAGCAGTAGAGGGCCAGCCAGTGATATGGTGATTGAGGTGGCTGGATCCTATATGGCCAACTGCACGATTTGAGTCCCAGACCCAGTGGCTTCAGAAAAAAAATAATAAAACACCTGGTGCATTTGCATGCATGCCAAAAATCCTGAAAAGATAAATGGAGAAGGAGGGGTTGTGGTGTGTCTATCCCCCATGGTGGGTATTTTCTCAGTCTTCCTCCATTTTTGTCTTTGCAGTGAATGCAAGCACCTTTTAGCAAATAAATAAATAGATAGATAAATTACTTATTCTAGATATCTAGAGAAAATAGAACTGACATTCAGCCCTTCTCTGTAAATTAACAGGCCAATAACCTGCATTTTATTCTATTTGATAGAACATTTAATTTTTTTTTACCACTTTTTAGCATCTTTTATGTAGAGTTTTAGTGTGCAAAATCTCAATGTCAACCTAACTTTTTCTATTCTAATATAACAGGAAACAGATTCGTTTATTCATGTATGAGTTGTTCACATATGCGCACTTGCCTTTTTCTGGATTTTGTATAACATTGTATTCCTAACCAGACTAACTGCCCAATTTTCTTCTGAGCTCTTAAAATTATACTCAGTTGGGTTAGTGATTACATACAGTGAGAATTTAATTCTTGGTTTTTTACTTATTTTTTAATTACCTTTATTAAATTTATTTAGTTTTTAATTTGACAGAGAGGGACAGAGTGAGAGAGAGAGAGAGAGGGGCAGAGAAGACTCAAACCACAGTTGGCCATGTGGGAGTCCAATACCCTTAACCACCATGCTAACTGCTGGCCCTGGTTTTCTACTTATTTTCAACTTATGTAATTTTATTTCAAACAATTTGGTTATTTCATATGACTTCTCGTTACATAGTTACAGGCTTAATAAATTCCTTTTCCACCTGCTGATCTCTGTTTCATGCACCTACTACAGAAATCCGCTCAATGGCAAAAGAAGACTGTGAGCTAAGGAAGAGGTAATGCCTTTAAGGAAGGTCTTTCCCTGAACACGAATAAATTCATTGTAACTAGTCCTGGAATTGAAAATATTTTCCCTAGTCTGCTGAGAAGTAGAAAGAAAGGAATGAACAGCAAAATGAACTTAGGATAAAGAGCTGAGCTGACGGTGGTCCTCACAGCGTCACAGGCCTGTAAATGTCGTGTCATTAAAACGTCTCCCTGGAAGGTCGGCTTGGCTTAGAGAACACTTTTGTTTGTTATCATGGGGGGTTAAAAAATTCTCTCCACTGCTAAGATTGTAGAACCCCTTCTTTCCCCAGAGCCTAAAAACTAAAGACTGTTGGGGTCAACAGGTGGCATAGTGGCTGAGATGCTGAACTCCCACATGGTTGACTGAGGTTCAAGTCCTAGACCCGGTGGCTTGAAACTCATGCCAGATGCGTGTGCATGCATACCCAAAATCCCAAGAGAAGAATGGAGAAGGGATTGTGGCATGGCCATCACCCGACTCCCCGGACCAGTAATTTCTCACTTTCTCTTTCTCTGTCTCTTCTGTGTCTCCAGCAAGCACCTATGCCTTACAGCAAAAATCTCTAAAAAACAAAAACAAAACTAAAGACTTCAAGGCAAGATTAACCATGGCTTTTGTAAAATCTTTTTTTTTTTTTTTTTTTTTTTTTTTTAAGAGAGTTTTTTGCTATAGGGTACGTGCACTTGCCAGACAGACAGAAACAGAAACCAAGAAATCACACCCCAGGGAGGATGGCTACGCTCCAGTCCCTTCTCCTCTTTTCTCCTCTCAGGATCTTGTGCATACTCACATACATGCCCACTGTGAGTTTTTAAGCCACCGGGTCCAGCACTCAAACCACAGTCCACAGGTCCCCACCATTACACCATCTGCTGGTCCCGACTTTTGTAGAGTCTTGAGAATAAAGGATCTCCTTGATAAGAACCAAGTACTTCCTGTGTAAATATTGCCTTTGAGGTCATATTTGTTTTAACAAATATCATTCTGATGGTTTCTGCTTGTGTTGAAGCAATTTATCTCAAACCATTAAGTACCTCTGAAAAAAAAAATCTTCTGAAAATGTGATAGACAATGATAGCTGGACTTCGTGTTGCAGATCCTGTGAAGCCACCTGGCAGCTCCGTACAAGCCCCAGCTGATGTTCCATTACCTGTAAATACAGCACCACCATCCACCCAAGCGGACTCATCCTCCGTTGCTCTACCTCCTCCATACCAGCTCATCAACCTTCCACCACACCTGGACACTCTTGGCATCCAGGAGGATCCTCAAGACTACCTCTTGCTAATCAACTGTCAAAGCAAGAAGCCTGAACCCATGAGGTAAATCATACGTGTGTGTGTGTGTGTGTGTGTGTGTGTACTTTTAAGAATCTTACCTTTACATTTTTTTAACCTTCACCTAAAAGCTTTAAAGAAACCACCTGTATAGACATGTTTCAGGTGGATATTTCTCGATGAATGATTTCTGCTAGAAGATTTTTCTTGAAGAAGCACAAGCTGTGCCGTCTTCGGCAAAGAACGGCTGTGCCTACGCGGTTCTTTGAGAAAAAACTGTCTCCTGTTTCACAGTCTCTGTTTCAGACTCACAGAATTACTTGCTTAACAGATTTCACTGATTTATAAATGGTGATCTTGCTCCATTTCTTATGTGATTGTAAACCAGCCAAGGGTCATCTTTTGTTTCTGAAGAAGGAGAGGAATACCTACTACTAGAAGATTTTGAAAGCAAAACGATTCCATTGCAGTGAGTGTGTTGTGGTTTTGGATCTGTGTGAGAAATTAATCATACAGGTAAAATCCCAATATGCAAATTCGATGAGATGTACCAATTGGGTTTTGGTGAAATTTGACGAAATTAACTGTGTTGCTAAAAACTGTGAAGTATTTTATCTTCATTCCTAGCAACGAAGCAGAGATTGCTCTAAGCCTTGACTTCACACTCTTCAGTAGAAACAAGTATGTGGGTATAGTGCTGAACCAGAGAGATCAGAAAGCCTTCCCCAAGTCCTTGATCTCTATTCCTGCTCCCACATCCCATTCCTTTTCTAAGCTATAATGTATTACTTTGTTGGGAAGTCTTGACGCATTTTTGCATAGAAAAACATGGCATGACTTTCCAGACCACCTAATTAATTTGATCATCTTTTTCATTTGCTGTTGAATACTCAAAAGGCTTATGAAGGTCACAGAGTAAGTTAGAGGGCAATTGTCTTATTGGCTTACTATTTAAAAAAATATTTTAAAGGGACCAGAAGTTAGTGTAATGGCCGTTACTGAACTCCCATGTAGCCAACTGCAATTCGAGTCCCGGACCCGGTGGCTTAAACTCATGCCGGGCGCATGTGCATGTGTGCCCAAGATCCTGAGAGGAGAATGGAGGAGAAGGGATAGCTGCGTGGCCATCCCTCCTGGGGACTGATTTCTCGCTTTCTGTCTCTCTGTCATTTAAAAGGAGCAGGAAAATGATGCTTAAGAGGCCAGTCTTTGCCATTAACAGCTAGGTGATAATGAATGATATCAGTCAATTGAGTTTATTTACTTATAGCATAAAAGTAGGGGTGAATTTCATAATGGGTGTGAAAGATAATTTTTTTTTTTTTTTGAAGAGGTTTTTGCTATAGGGCACGTGCGCTTGCCAGAAAGACAAGAGAGGGACAGAAAGTGAGAAATCATCCACCAGGGGGGATGGCCATGCAATCCCTTCTCCTCCATTCTCCTCTCGGGATCTTGGGCACACATGAACACATGCCTGGCATGAGTTTAAGCCACCGGATCCGGGACTCGAACTGTGGTCTACTACATGGGAGTCCAGTGACATAGCCATTATACCAACTGCTTGTGTAATGAAAAGTAATTTTTTAATAAAGTTACAAGATAGTAAGCATTATTACCTTTGTAACTCAATTTTCTTTTTTTTTTTTTGAGGGGAGTAGAAAGTTACCAGGCTAGGATCAGACCGATATTTCAGATATTTATGGAGCCTTTGTCAAGATCCTCCAAGTAGTTCCTGTGAGCCATTCCCTGAGATGACGGAAACAGCTCACAAACATTGCAAAGACGGATTCCTATATACTTGTTATAATGGGATTTTACCTGTAAGAATAAAAGAGATCTGTAAATCAGCACTAGTGAATAATACCAAATTCTAACCTGATTTTGCTTGTTTGCTGTGAGTATTAAAATTACACTCTTGCAACTCTGTTACCTATGCTACTAAGATTTTATTTTATGGAGATTCACAATTTTATTTTTCTACCATTGTTTTTCAGCATCATCTTTTTAAAAGCCAACAACTAAGTGATCATTTCAGTCCATTTTCTCTTCTATGTTTTTTCTCCTTTATTTCTTCCAAGTAAGAGAGAAGGGTCAGGTGCCGTCAGCCTGAATTATAGGTACACACATGTAGCCAGTATGCTCAGGAAGTTCCCAGGACTCAAACATGAATCCTTTCCCATGTGGGTTCAGCTGTGTTACTGCTATGTGACCACCAGTTCCACTGTGTTTTCTGTTTATATAGTGTCTTTCATTAATTTTGCTGGTAGCACAGATTTCCTGGTGCAAGATTAATTATGCTCAAAACTATTAGCCAGATATCTTTTGCCATTTATACTTTGTAAAAGTGACAGTTAAATATCAAATATTCATGAGGTATCCAATATGTATCCACTATTATACTTGTTATGAAATTACAAACTAATATAATTAGTGTAAGATACAGTTCCATTGGGGCCAGCAGGTGGCATGGTTAAGGTGCTGAACTCCCACATGGCTGACCGCGGTTCAAGTCCCTGTGGCAACTTGCTTTCTCATTCTCACTCTCTCTTTTTCTCTGTCTCTGGTGACCACACGTGCCCTATAGGAAATTTTAAAAATAATAAGTGAATACATTTTTAAACAAAAAAAAGATCAAAATTCCCCTCAGGTATAGTTTGGTGAGAAGATGGGAATTGTCAGCAGTCAGAAAAGAAGGTGAAGTTAGGAAAAAGGAGGATTCTCTGATGGCACAAATGATGGAGAAATTCAGGACTGAGCTCTGTTGGCCATTCCCAGGTGAGAGGGAGGAAGAACAAGCCAGTCAGCAAAGCCAGGGGATAGCCAGTAAGGGAGATATCGCAATACCACCATATGGGCTCTGTGATCCCATAAATAAATAAATGCAGTATCCAGTGCCAGGCGTTACTGAGAAATCAGGATGATAAACCCTTCAAAAAAAACTGTCCTGAGCCAGGTGGGTAAGGCTGGATCCCACATGGTTGACTGAGTGGTTTCAGTCCCAAAACTCAGCAGCTTGAGAAACACACTGGGCATGCGTGCTTGTGTGCCCAAAATCCAGAGAGGAGAATGGAGGCGAAGCCACTGCAGCATGACCGTTCCCCATGGGGGATGCTTTCTTGCCTTTTCTCTCTCTCTCTCTTCCGTCTCTCTCCAGTGAGTGGATTGCTGTACCTTCTGGCTAATATAAAATTTTGAAATTTAAAAAATAAGTATACATCTATACACACACACACACATATATATTAAATCAGTCTCTCTCTATAGATATAGATATATCACAAGTTATTTAAAGAAATATTGTTTAAATTCTTACAGGACTTGGACAGCACACATACATAGCTGAGATACCTCCTTTACATATGAAGTAAAAATGTGCTTGTAATGTTACTGTCCCTTGGGCTTATCCCCAGGTTTTGTAATACCTCAAAAATGTAGAGACTGAAAATGTTTCCAAAACCATAAAATGTACTCAAGCGAGATTTCTCAAGGTTCATTAACCTTTGGAGTTGATTTACTCTGTGTTTTGATCATGTTTATAGTGCTGGCTACCTCGTTGTTAAAGAAAATTAGTGCAAGGAGAGAAGATACATGGAACTTGTTGTCACTTCCTTGTAGGTCACATTGAATTTATCCAAAACCAGACTCTCAGGTTTGCAGGACGACAGATTTGCCGCAGGCAGGTGAAAGAGCGCTGGATCCATTTGTAAAGTGTACTGGCCACGAGGCGTTTGCATGCTCTTCAGACGGAATGCTTATCCTTGTGTCTGCCCTGCTCACTCACCCTTCCCAGAACTGTGTAAAGAATGTCTAATTCCAGTGCGCCAGGACTGTAGGTTTACATGTGGATGTCATAGGTGGCATTGGGGGTGGTGGCAGGCGGGTACAGGGCAGGAATTAGGAAAAAACGCTTTTGGTGGTTTTGCGGTGGTGGTTTTGTCATCTGGTAGATAATCATAAAAAAACTATAAAGAATAGCTGTGCTTCGAATCTTACAGATCACATGAAAAATAATGAAAAGGCCATTTGTTTTGATTGCTAAACTCTCCATGTGTTTTCGAACCTGTTTTCGTACCTTGACCACGTTTTATCTTGTCATTGACAATTTTTGATCAGAACCCACGCCGACTCTGCAAAATCCACTTCTTCTGAAACAGACTGCAACGATAATGTCCCGTCTCATAAAAATCCCACTTCCTCCCAGAGCAAACACGGAGTGAATGGCTTCTTTCAGCAACAAATGATGTACGACTCTCCGCCGCCCCGTGCTGCCTCTGTTTCCGCAGACTCCAGCCTTTACAACCTCCCCAGGAGTTTTTCTCACGACGTTTTACCAAAGGTATCTCCATCAAGTACCGAAGCAGATGGAGAACTCTACGTTTTTAATACCCCATCTGGAACATCGAGCGTAGAGACGCAAATGAGGCACGTATCTATCAGTTATGACATTCCTCCAACGCCTGGGAACGCTTACCAGATTCCACGAACTTTTGCGGAAGGCGCGTTGGGACAGACGTCGAAGCTTGACTCTATTCCAGATATCCCTCCACCTCGGCCACCGAAGCCACACCCGGCTCACGACCGATCTCCTGGGGAAATGGGTGGCATCTCCCGCACGACCTCCGACACCGACGGCAGTTACTGTGTCCCCACCGCGGGGATGCCGCCCTCGCGGAGTAATACCGTTTCCACCGTGGATTTGAACAAATTGCGAAAAGGTCAGCTTCCCTTGGCTTCCTGCTCTCTTAGAGGCTAATAATAGAAAATCTGGTTTTCTGCTTGTTTGTTTTTTCCAACATAGTATGGTGTTAAATGATGGGCCTTTTTTTCCCCCCCCTGCAACTTTGCAGTTACCTGTTTAGGTAGTTAAGGTGTCAGAGTCTCAGTAGATCCCTGGAGGCATGTGTGTGTGTGTGTGTGTACCTGTGTGTGCATGCATGTGCGCATGTGTACTCTTTCTGGGAGAAAGCATTGGAGTTTTTTGTACCAGAAGAAGCAAGGCCTTAGTAATGCCTTCCTGCTGCAGGAAGCGTGCTCATCTCTGTCCACTCCCTGTGCGTCCTGGGTGGGTGGTAGGTCCTCTGTTGTGGGAGCAATGCAGGAAGTGGACCAGCCAACAGGGCCTCTCCAAGTCGGGCCTTTTCCTGTGTTGGTGTGTCCTTACAGCTACTTCCATGACACATCTGTTGGGCTCTATTGCCTTCCTTCCTATAAATTTAATTTTTACATTGTGTCTAACAGTGCTATTCTGTCCCATCCAAGCCAGTAGGTCCGGTGTTTGTTAGTCAAAGAGCTGAACCGTCTCTCCTCTCACCCTTGTATCACTTACTGCCAGTGAGTGTATTTTTCTCATATCATCTCTTAGAGCCTGCAGCCAAAGTGACAGACCTTTAGAGGAGAAAAAAAATGGGACTGAGTTATTCTCTGAGATTATCTTAAAGTTCAAAATATAGAAAGCCAAGGTTTTTAATGCACATACCCTAAAACTATGTGCTAAAATCTCTGCATTTCATGATAGGGTTTTCCAGATTGCTTTAATGTGTCATGAATAGTACTTATATCAGTACTTTTTTTTTTTTAAGAGGTTTTTACCTTAGGACACATGCCCTCGCCTGAGAGAGAAAGAGACAGTGTGAGGGAAAGTGAGAAATCACCCCCTAGGGGGGATGGCCATGCCACAGTTCCTTCTCCATTCTCCTCCCAGGATCTTGGGCGCACATGCACATACCTGGCACGATATTTGAAGCCACTGGGTCTGGGACTCGAACCATAGTCAGCCATGTGAGAGTTCAGAGACATAACCATATGCCATCTGCTGGTTCCTGTATCAATACTTTTTTAATGATTCAATGTCAGTTTCCTTGTAATTTTTCCAGATGGTGTGTGTACTCACCAGAGACAGAGAAAGAGAGAGAGGGAAAGTGAGTACTCCCTATAGGGAATGGTCATTCCACAATCCCTTCTCTATTTCTCTCTTCTGAGGATTTTGTGCACACACATGTACCCACCATGTTTCTCAAGCTGCTGAGTCCAGGACTCAAACCATGCTGTCAGCCATGTGGGATCCTATTGCCTTAACCATCAAGCCATCAGCTGGCCCATCACTATCAATTTCTTTTTCTTAAGAAAGATTTTTGCTATAGGGACGCATGTGCTTGCCTGAGGAACAGAAAGCATGAAATCAACCCCCAGGAGGGATGGCCACATCACAATCTCTTCTCCTCTATTCTCCTCTTGGGATTTTGGGCACCCACACATGCACCTGGCATGAGTTTTAAGCCTTGGGTCTGGGACTCAAACTACAGTCGACTACATGGGAGTCCAATAATGTAACCATTACACCTCTGCTGGTCCCCAGTACCATATTCTAACTCTCTTAATGGTGACTATAGAACTTGGTTATAAGTTAGTGAGATGTAAGTTAGGATCAGGTAATGTAAAAGATGAGAACATAGAGGTATTTTTCTTCTCCATCTTTAGATAACCCACCTCATCCCTGGCTTAAACAGTCACTCAGTCTCATAATTAGGTATTGGTATTGCTTAGCCTACATATGAGCCTCTGCATTTTCTAGTAATTTAATGTACCAATTTGAGATATTGCTCTGTGAGGATCCTTTTTAAAGTCTATGTTTTGTTTATGTGCTTGTGGGAGTCATGTGTGTGACGAGAGAAAAATAGGTCATTCCTGATTATTCCAGAGTTGGCAAAGATGGGAAGAAATGCTGATAGTTTGTTCTTTATTTTAGATGCTAGTTCTCAAGACTGCTACGATATTCCACGAACATTTCCAAGTGACAGATCTAGTTCACTTGAAGGCTTCCATAACCACTTTGTAAGTATAATCGGCCGTGGCATCGCTGAATATATTTCATTGTCAAACTCTTTATCCAGTACCATGAGACTAAATGAGATCATGAAATAAAAGTCCCTTTAGGTCCGTCCATATGAGTGAGTCTGACTTAATGATTGCTTTTTCATGTTCAACAGTTTTCTGTTTATTAAAAAACATGTATGTGTGTTTTAGAAAATCAAGACTGTGGTGACAGTGGGGAGTGTGTCAAGCGAAGAACTGGATGAAAATTATGTCCCAATGAATCCCAACTCACCTCCACGACAACATTCCAGCAGTTTTACGGAACCAATTCAGGAAGCAAATTATGTGCCGATGACTCCAGGGACGTTTGATTTTTCTTCGTTTGGAATGCAAGTGCCTCCTCCTGCTCATATGGGCTTCAGGTCCAGCCCTAAGACCCCTCCCAGAAGGCCAGTTCCTGTTGCAGACTGTGAACCCCCGCCCGTGGATCGGAACCTCAAGCCAGATAGAAAAGGTAAGGGGAGCTTACCCAAGTAAAGGAATTAGGATGCCAAGTGAGATTGGTACTTACCTGCCATGAAACCCAAAGTGGAGTTGGAACTAGATATTCTGGGATATTTCCTATTGTTTTAGTAATCAACCTATGTCAGTAAAAGCGTGTTGCTATTTATTTTATTCATTATTTAATTTTATTTGTTATTATGTTTGTGTGTGTGTGTGTGTGCTATAGGGCACACATGCTCACCAGAGAAAGAGAAAGTGAGAAAGAAAGATGCCAGATCCAGAACTCGAACCATGGTCAGCCATGGGGGAATCCAGCACCTTAACCGCCATGCCACCTACTGGACCCCATGCTGCTATTTATATATTAATAATGGTTATATCATATGCTGATGACAGATAAGATTTGCAAATCTATCTGAGTAGAGGTTATAAACCAAAATACCCACAGGGATTTGCAGGCAACAGGGGAGCATTAGGGAAACTGGACTGCCCTTGCCGCTTCTTAATGGAGTAACTGCCTCTTGGCTACAGTCCTGTGTTGACTTGTGAAAATATGGGCCCATACAGGCAGATCTTCTTGTGTATCCAGAAAAGCCAGACATTTCGCATTGTGTATGCATTATCACTTGCCTTTGAAATTTCTGTCAACTAACTGAATCATTTTTACAAAGCACTGCAGACCAAAGGAGATGCGGCCTTCAGTTACTATTTGTAACCTTTTCTCCAGCGTACATAATATCACATCAGATTTCATATTACTAATATATTTGACATAATCACCTAAGAGCAATGAGGTTGCCTGTGTAACGTTTCCATTCTGCCTAGATAAAGTCTCGAAAATTATTTTGCTTTTCCTCGGGAAGAAATAAGTGCTTCTAGCCTATTCTTTCACGTTGGCCTTCAGAAGTAACATTACATTCTGAGATAGCATTGTGTGTTAAGAAAGCTCGGTAAAAGAAACTTTTCAGCAAAACTGAGTAACCCATACTTTCATTTGTCAAGTTTTGGTTTCAGTGGTTCTAACTCAGACAACTTGCTGTGTCTGTGCATGGTGTTAGTGTGAATTACCCTAGACGGCCC